TCCCCTCTTTAACAGACGAAAGCCCACACTCGGGGTGCAATCGATCGCATTAGAAACAGAGCGTGGAGCAAATATTCCACAGAAAGCAAGGGACTGAAACAAGGAATATCGCTTTCGTTGAGTATAGAAAGCGACAACGACGGAGAAGTACTGCGAGGGAATACCCAGCTTCGTTCATCTTTGTAACTGTCTCTGTTGCTAGGCACTATAGGCACTGTAGGCACTCTCTTGGGGTGGCAACAATTCTCTCTAGTGCAGGGATTCCAGGTTAGGAATCCTTCCGCGCGATGACGATCTCCATATCCACGCAGTTAAATCCGTCTCATCCGTTTCGGTGATGTCATACCTCTCACATTCATAACAGGGCTAGGGTAAATCGGTCGCTCCGGCTCGCTTCAGAGCGAGCTTAATTTTTTAAATTAAGAAAGTTGTTATGGGGGGATGGGATCAGTTGTCTGCTACTCCTGAGCAACGAACGCGACCGGCTGGTGGCCTCAAGAGGCCTCAAGGTGGGTCACGAGGAATCTCTCATTACGAAACAGATTGCGATACAGGTATACGCATATCGGGAAGATTCTGCAGAGCGGAACAGGTCAATGAGCTTAATTTTCTTTTCATTATAAGTTCTTTGAAAAGTTCTCATTCTGAATCGAGGTGAGTCGTGACATTTTTCGAAAGTTGGCAAGTGGGAAGCGCGATGAAAAAAAATCGATACTTCTGCTTAAAAACAAGCGTTCGCGATTTTTTTTTTTACTCTGAGAAGAGAGAAAAGAGAGGAAAATTACTCCAATTTATACTTCTGTTCTTCCAAAGTTAAAAGGAAAGGGGAAATGATAGAAAAAAGGAGACTGGAGTTAGAGCTCGCCTCTTTCTGAAAGGGCGTAGGGTACGTCAAAGGGGAAGGGGAACAGAAAATTGTTGATCATTGGGAACTCCATAAAGCTCTGTTGAAAGTAGAGTAACCCAAGAAATTCGATCCCTGTCTGCAAACTATCGCGAATGAGAGAGGGGGAAGGGAGGAAAACGGAATAGACACCAGAGTAAGGGGGAGGGGAGGGCGGGGGGGGGGGGAAAGAAGAGAAGCAGCCTTTGAAAAAGTGCGGCAGTCGTCAGTCGTTCGAGGAGCACGCTAGATGCCTCTGCGTATCCAGTCCTGGTCCATCGTGTAATGGTCCAAAGCAATAATGCCAAGATGCCAAGGCCCTCCGCGGTGCTATTAGTTAAAAAGAGTTTTTATCCTCTGTCGTGAGTTTTTATCTGAGAAGCTTCAACTAAATTACGCGGTTCGCGTATGCAAGAAAGACTAGCCCTAAGTATAGTACCGGAGAAAATTGTATGGACTTCCCAAAAAATGGCACCACGAGCCACGAGAGTCAAGAAAGGGCATTGCAAATAAATAAATAATAAATAATTAAATGTTCATTCATTATTTGCCCCATGAATGCCGAAGGACAACATTTAGAGCAGGAACCCTTTCGATTTATTTGAGAATCTGCAGCAGGTGAATCCATCATTGGTACAGCACACAGTGTAATTTAATATCATAATAATATTTCTGGTACTAGTAAATTCCAATTGGAGAACTTCCTGACGTCATCCATGGAGCTGTGAGCGCTGATAAATCTCATGTGGGAGGTATGGAAGTGTCATGAGTGGAATTTACACTAAAATATACGAACTTCCGAAAAAGAGAATGATACAAAATTCAATTCGAAAAATTAGGAAGAGTGTCTACATCTACAATATGTCTACATTACTTGGTGGTCGGTGCAGAGAGCAATGCAGTGACTCTCACAGAAGCCTCACGATGTGTCGCGATAGCTAGGTCAGGTGCTAGCAGTGGCCAATCCTGGTGGGGGGGGGACGCTATCACCCCCCTCCCCCCTCCTTTAATTTTTATTTGGGGCTGTGAAATAGATATCCAAATTTTTACCCCAGACGAAAAATGAAAAAGGCGATAGGACGAGAGTGGTAGTAGGTGAAGGGGGCAAGGGGTGGTAGGAACTTAGGGAACTGCCCCCCTTATGAAAAATGTCTGCGTCCGCCGCATGTGGTCATGGTGCAAGATTGCACAGAGCATATGAGCTTATTTTGCAGGCTTATTTTACGTGGAGAAAATCTTGACCGAGATCGCTTTCTCGACCGAGAGAATTTTACTTACTCATCTACGAAGGGTCTACTACGATTCCCACATCGTGACGCACGCTACCTCTGAAAGGCATTAATTACCTTCAGCTCGGCCCATGCCTTTCTCTAGGACTGCCTTCTCTCGATTCGACCTTGATCCCCTTCGCCGTCGATCTTCCTCGTACGAAGCAGTAGCCTATACACTCGATGCATTATGCCACGCAGGGTAAAGGGCAAGGCGATGCCGTCTTGCAGGACTGCACGTACGGCGATTGGTCACGCCCGGGAAATCGCCTCTGCCCTCTCCAATGCCTCACTGGCGCCCCCCATGAGCATTCATCGGACGGCTGGAAGCTTGGCATCTCACGATAGGAGCAATTTTTTTCGCATTGTAACGCGATCCCATTCCATCCGGATGTCATCTGAGACCTAAACAGTGGCTTCTCATGCCAGCGTCAGACTGGGATGAATCTAAGGGGGTGAAAAGGAAATTTTTAACATTTTTGTTTTACTTTCCATGAGTTTTTTTTCTTGGCCTTTCCCGGCCCGCTTGCTACATCTTGAATTGACTTTTCCCCAAGAAATTGAAGTCAGATGGGCGTCGCATCAGTATTGCAAGCCTCGGCCATCGGTGCTAGATTTCCCGAGAAACCTGCATTTCTGAAAATGACAGAGGTCCTACTTACGTAATGCTGTCATAAAAACGAGGGAATAGCAAAGGAACGGTCAGATCACCGAAGCATCTGTCCAATCACCACCAACATGGCCCATTCACATGTCACACGTTTAGAATGAGAACTGGCTGCTGTGCTTTCACATTCCTATCATCTCCAAAGTCGAAGTCGAGATGGATTTGCTGGTAGGTCTATCACAGGTTCAGCCATGGAAAGAATAACAACGATGACTTTACCTATTAGAGCCTCTCCTGCTCTCTGCTCTCTTCATTTTCGGTGCTCATTAGAGTAATCGCGACGAATCTTCAGGATGAACGAAAAAATATCGAACCTCAAACCGGAAAGTTTATCATTAAATAAAAAGGAAACCAGCGTTTCGAGGACACAAGGTCCTCTTCCTCTGGGATATTAAAAAAAAAAGAATAAAAAGATGCGAGAAAGTCATTTAAGATGAAGTAAAATAAAATACGCCAGAGTCGAAAGGGGGAAAAGAAGATGAAAAAATAACAAACTTTGAGGGAAATGAAATAACCAAATGTGAACGTAAAATAAAAGTGAAAAGACAGGCCCGAATGGTGAAACCTCCTTCAGTTAACGGTCCTTTAAGAACACATGGACTCCAACGGGGGCAAAGGAGCTCTTTAGCTTTCAGGCCCTTTTATCTTCTCTAAACGAGGTTAGTGCATTCGAACCTAAAGTCGTAAAGTAAGTGCATGATGCAGCGAGAAAGAAATGAATGAAGGGTGAGGCGCGGGGGGGAGGGGAGGAGGGAAGGACCTACTGGCGTACATTTAACACACCTATCACCGATATAGAGAGCTGATATTATAGAGAACTTATAGAGATTGGTGCCTTACTTATAGAGAGTGTTAAACTCCCCGACCCCCTCTATCGCAAAAGAAGGGGAAAATTCAAGATGGAAAATTTGAAACCCATCAATTCTAAAATCTAGCTCTGTCCCCTCCCTTTCTTCATCCATTCCGTTTTTGCTGTACCTCGTTGGTGCTCTCGTCGAACAGTGCGTTCGGTGTTCCACAAGTCAGAGCTCGGTTCTAAGCCACGAAAGGGTTTGCCTCGGTGAGTACGTTTGTCTCAGACATCAGGAGTCTAATGAGTTTCTCGAAGAAAAGATATTTAGGTGATTCTCGGTGCCGTTATTCTTCGAATCTGCCAAGAAAATGGGAACTTGTTCTCGTTTAGTTCGCCATCATTCCTGATCGCTCAAAGTGTATTAATGAACGAGAGAGCGTGATTTGAAACCGTTTACGATCTCAGTCGGCTAGCTTGAGCGTCACTTTATTGCCAAGCGAGCAAAACCCATCCCCATCTTGGGTCGAGAGGGCTGGCTGGAATGTCGGATTCACGTATGGCGCGGTGAGCACCACTTGTACGACGAACCTGCCCATTGCCTGAGGCAACTGGACCTGAAAAAATTTTCGAAACACCAATGGGATGGCCGATGAGAACATATGGAGACAACATAAATGACGCTCGAACGTCTCAATTTCTGTGTTTCAGAATGTATTCTACTGCTACGGTGACAACTGTTTCCGGTCAATCACCGGACGATCAACTCATTACCACGCCCTGACACGCTCATTATTTAACTTATGAGTCTGTCTTTCTCATTAAAGTCTTCACTCCTGTTACAACGAGTGGAACTACACTGACTGCATGAGACGCAGCTCAAACTCATGCAACCGACTCCGAAATGCGGTGGCATGTATTATGGCATCATTTGCACTGTATCTATTTTCATTCCAAGATATGTAGTTCAAATTCATTTTTTTTAAGTCCTGTAAATGCGGATATACGCATGTTCATCATGTAGGGCATAAGTTTCATGATACACCGTAGATATTGATTCTAATATGCCTGATACGCGAACGTTTTGCACCGTTTAGAGCGCATCTCTGGAGATAGAATGAAGTAGAATTCCTGCAGCGATGATGGCGGAATGACCTTCCTTGGGCGGAAAGGACATGCGTTGGCACCTCTTGCATGTTGTCTCCCTCAGATCGTGTTTGCGCTGCAATTTGAAGGAACCGGGGAAAAGTGTCGTAAACGCAAAAAGAAAGACGAGAGACCCCGTCCATGGTGACTACGTGAGCGTGACTGGGGCTAGCTAACCTTGCCAGGTTCTTATCTGATATTCGATGCTCCTCTTCCCTAGGGAGGATCATATAAATTCCCATTTGTCGTCCCGCGCGGTCATCTACTGAGGCCTGCCAAGGACGTGCGGTCGTGGAGGCCCATCCCTTGGCCCCAACTACTTCAGCCGTCCTGTTCTATTCCGCTCACGACGAGACTCGTATCTCGACACACTAGGGCCGGGCTTTCATCGGAGAGGACGCCGGATAGCAATAGAATCCTGACCTAAATAGTGCGACTCTCCGTTGATTGCTGCGGAAACTCGGCCTTACACCGTTCTCCTTGATCTATCCTCCCGTTTTTTCCTGTGCGTTTGACACGCGTTGCGTAGTGTTATCGTCAGTAGAACAAGTTCGAAAAGGAATCCCAGTGATAAACTCATCCCAGCAAATTCAAGGCGGATATGAGAATTCCCTAAGCGGTTCGACTGTGTTTCTGTCTGTGTTGCTATTCTCGTCAGAGAAGTGCATTACCCTCATCAAGATTCCCAACGGGTGATATACATACACAGGAAAGGGAAGATATCCCGTAAAGAATCAATATGGCTAGAGTAAGTCCCACATACTCGACTGACATTCCTGCATGATCCCCTCTCCACTAATCCACGCCGGCTCATCTGCGATTGTTGGCATCCCGACGCGTTCTCTTCATCCGATATCTATCTCTTACCTTCGTGTTGATTATTCATTGAGGGAGTAAACACTAATGTACATAAGGAAGGAATCCTTCCGTTATAACTTCACCAGGTTCAATTCAGTTGATTTTGTCTACAGAAAGCAAAGCTAAAAATATAAAAATTTGCAGCTTTCAAGAGAGATGACTCGGTTCAAAATTTTCGGAATTAGATAATCCATTTCATCATTTGGTTATGTCATGCAACTATAGATTTGTCAAAGCAATACAGTTTATCAAGTGGGAACAACTATCCGAAGTATTGTAATTTGGGACGCTTCTTAATCTCGCCGGTCTGCCAGAAAATAAAGTAAGCTTGAGAAAGCCTAGGCCAGTGGTGGCCCTCCTTGCAATGACTGTTGGGAGGAGGCATGTAGGTAGAGGTTAGGAGATTGGAGAACACGACGTTTCTAGGACTGTCATGTTTGGCGTCGCACGAGTTCGGATAGCAACCGTGTCTACGCTTCCATGTATTGCCTCTCTTCGTTTCCCAACAATGGATCCATCAGCTAAGACATCTAGAAGGGAAGTGGCAACCCTAAGTGATGACATGACATCCCAACTCAGACTGAGCGCTGCGCGTGCGCAGAAGTTGAGCTCCTAGAAGGCAATTTCACTCTTTTTCCTTTCCCCCTAATAACAAAAGTTCAAACGTTACAATTCGCAACTAAAATGTCTGCATTTGACATTAACAAAAACGAATTTACATGTGGAAACTCCGTGTATTTACATCCTGACTTTCACAGGGATGGGGTCAATATTTTCCCGTTGTCTCCTGATAACGAAAGCGCCAGACAGATACAGACACAGAAAGGACATAACCATAAGTCGTCTCCTTCCTTCCAGAAAAGGAGGCCCACTCGTAAGATTCCATATAAGAAGAAAATGGCCCTAGCTATGGCTCATTGATATCAGGACCTCACGGAGATCACATAACAAATAGTTCGCTCCGAATAATTCTCTCTGATATTTAGAAGCAGTCTACACGGGTGAGTTTGAAGATGAGAGAGAGCAAAGGAATTCCGTGAGATCCGAAGCGCTCTTTTAAAATCTGGCAAGCAGGAATTTCACCTTTCGATCCAGTGCACTTTGACTTATCTCTTTACTGCGAAATGCAACATACTCAACTATGGAACAAAAGGAAGAAATTAAATCAGTATGTTTAATTTCGAAGTAGTGATGCCATACTTGCGCGGAGGCAGCTAATACCACAAGCCACAAGTCGCAGCTGTAACGTGTCTTATCTAAGAAAACTGCCTTGTGAACAAAAACCTTTAGAGAACTTGTTTGGCTACTTGAACCTCGTCGAATGTCATGCTATTTCCGAGTAGCACGGCATATCAGTCAAAAGTATAAATATGGGAAGGGGGACGGACAAAAAGCATCCTTTTCGAATTCTCATTAGGGGAGCAGTTCCCTTTGTATAAGAACAGTCACTTTCCCCGACTACCAGAGATTTCATCGTACACATTTGCCGAAAGACAAATAACCCTGTAGCCAACGCCTTTAGAATATATACTTCATACTTCTGGATTATGCCAGACAACCTGCAGGTTGACTTAATCAAACGCATCTGCTAGTCGACAGAACAGGTCTACAGCTCCTTTCTTTACCTTCTCCCTCATACAGTATTTATCAGCAGGTTGAACACAAAGGAATTTTCTTCAGTGTGGTTCAAGGAAAATTCAACTGTTTAAAGCTGCTTGCTTTTCAAAATAAATTTAAATGAATGCTTCATACTCAGAAGGTGTAGAACAACTCCTTCCTCTCCAATTAAAATTAATTTAACCAAAATCGATCTCAAGGAGGCAGTTAATGTTCTATGAAAGTGGGAAGTGACGTGCGGTGCTTTTTAAAAGTTGCTAGTTAGCGTTGCCATTCCTTACAGTTACCATGGTCATCCTTAACAATGAGGATCAAGTGATTAGCTAATTTTCATGTAAGGAAAAAGGATAAGAGGCGAAAAAAAATTATTCAGATGTTCCCAAACTGTGGGTGAAAACTGCGGACCCACTTCAAATCAAACAACAGTTCCGATGCTTGATTTGTGTTCTCCTTGAGCTAAGCGCTACTCATTACCATACTTATAATTACTATCGAGAACAGCTCGTGTAGGGTATTTTTTTCTTTCTTATTCCTACTTGGAGTCGACAGTGTGATCAAGAACGCGAAATTATGCAAAGCAGTTGCTAAACAAAAAACTTTATTGCTTTTGTCCCTTTTGTAAAACTGCTTCCTGACCATGAGATTTATTTTTATTAAAATTATATCGACCGGAAATGAAAGCACTAATTCACTTGGAAATGGAAAGCATTTAAAGTTGTGAAAGTTGTGTTTTTTTTTAGCTATCCCGTAGTTATATACCTTGGTGGAAATCTGGCAGAGAGAAAAGGTGAGAGTGAGAAAAGGAAAGGGATTTTGCTTCAACCACGTTTGGAGTTTTAGTTCCAGGAATCACTCAAAAAACTTCGACCACATGGGGACGAATGAGATACATTCGTAGTTATTCGGGTCTGACAGGTTGCCCTTTCCTCGGTAGTGAATGGGAAATACCTCACACTTCATGCATGAAAATACCAACCTCTCCCCAGGACGACTTCAAGCAAACCCGTGATAAGGGGGTCCGAATATTTCTGATCTCATCAGGTAATCTATTGATGCCTGGGGCAGGGCCGGATTAAAGGGGGGGCAAAGGGGACTCAATTCGACTGATTCCTGACCGTGAAGGCAGTGACAGTGGTCGAGACTCGATTCATAGCTCCTCATTCATAGCTCCTCATTCATAGCTCCTGCAGGCATACTAGCACTACCCGAAATGGGGGTGCCATCATGCCAAGACGGTTATTCGACCTAAGCCATACATCGAAAATAAATGCATGGGGAATGGGCGGGATGGCATTCCGGGATGCCATTCTAGCATCCGTTCAAGACGTGAAGGTTTCATTCGACCAGTACGAGAGTGACAGAAGAGGACAGTAAGCTCATGGCAGCTCACCCTCCACCCCTTAGACTCTTTCTACACTTACCAACTCCTCCCCTTAAAAGAGGGCCATTATACAGGGTGTCCACATGAAAGCTCACTTATTTGTGTGGACCATTACAAGGAAAGTAAACGAGATAGGATGAAGAGAGTGACACCAATAGAAAGAGCAACTCAAAGAATTTATTGCAAAAAAATCAGTACACCTCTACGTGCGCACCTTAGTCGGACACCATTTTTTATTCCGCGTTCCGCAGCGCCACCGCCGGGATACTGACGCTGGCGCGAAATTGAAATCTTAAATTCTTTGAGTTGCTCTTTCTATTGGGGTCACTCTCTTCATCCTGTCTCATTTACTTTCCTTGTAATGCTTCACACAAATAGGTGAGCTTTCATGTGGACACCCTGTATAGGAAGAGGTACTCCCAACCTTCTCTCCTCGCCCCTTGAAAAAAAAAAATAAAAATCTTATTTGGAGCATTGCCTCTTGGTAGGGTAGGGTAAAACCACCAATGTTCGGCCAGTTTAACTGTCCGAGCTTTATCATTTGCTCGTCCTATCTCTAATGTACAAGCTAGAAACTTCATTTTTTGCTCCTGGGAGCACGACACGAGGAGGTATGAGTGCAACAAAGATGTTCCCATTCCTAGCCTTATGCCTACCGACATTGCCTATAATGTAGATGTCCGAACTTAGATGTGGAAAAAATTAAGTTTGGACACTTTCACCTTAGTTCGGACACCCCTGTTTTAAAGTCTCAAGGAGGCTTGAAACACTTCATTTTGGTGCAAATGAATGATAACCCACTCCTGAAGTATTTATATTTTCTAGCATAGGACGATCGGGATTGAATGAGTGAGCGACTGACTTTCATTCTAACCATGTTCTAGATGAGACTGAAAGTTCGACCTTGGAACACGAATAACTCGGATGGTGCAGATTTAAGGTACTTTTTTATGGGAGAGACGTATCCCATATTTATTTTGCTTCAACAAAACGTAGAGACACAGAAGCTGAAACTTGGTGCATCGGTACCTATTGAAATGCAGTTTTCCGGGGGGGGGGGGGGGAAGAACTATTTTTCGGATTCGTTTCCAGGGGTATATTTTTGATTGGACCTTTCCAAAAAAGTATTCCGTTCCTGGGAATCATGGAGGCAAAAGACTGAAACCTTACTAAATATGCAGTAATGAGGGGAAATCCTGCTTTTGGGAGATATATTCTGGGGGTACATTTAGGGGGGGGGGGGGGGAGCCATATTTTGAATGTTTTGCTACATTGAATCAGGCGGTGGCGGATATTGAAACCTGGAATTTGGTGCGTAGGTTTCTCTCCAGTCGCTGATTTCAGGAGAAATCATACCCTTGCGGTAAAATCCCTTGGGAGCACATTTTTCATTTGGGTCGTTTTCTTTTTAAGCAGACCGGGCAGACACAGTTTGTTACATTCAGCACACAAGTATTTCTCTGCATACCTAATTTTAAATAAAAAAACACATCCAACTTCAGGGGTACATCCCCGCTCCGAATTCCCCTAGAAGAAAATTTATCTAGCAGACGTGTTCATCGTAAGCAATGTTGGCCTTCCGGAAGGTCACCTCACACTAATTTATGCCCTAGTGGCCTTTTCAACAGCCTCGAATCGACAATTCCTAGCATTCCAACCTCCAATAATGAATGTACTGCTTTGGAGGCACGCTGCACATTTAGGTGTGCTAAGAAATATATGAAGCTTTAGTGTATGTGCTCGACGGTGTCCGAAATTACATGTCCCTTTAGGAAAGTTCGGACAGAACTCCGAAATACAAGTTTTCTTAAAATTATGACTCAACTGAGCTTTTGTCAACTCTAAACGTTCTTTATCTCAATAGGACATCATATTTATGCGGATATGACACACATGAATGTATGTCCGAACTTAAGTTCCTCATACTCTTCTTGATCTAAGTTCGGACACACCGAAAGTAAGACACTAATCTGATCAATGCATTCTGCGTAACGGGTCTCCATGTTCTCCTAGTTTCCTGAGAAGTAAGAATTGAGCACAGAAAACAATAATATCACGTGTGAAACGTTTTAAAAGCAAGGTTCTCTTCTTTAGGTTTCTTGAAGAATTCCTCCTGTTCGTGACATAGCACTGGCTTAAGCTCAATATCTTGAAATCGTGCAGTCATCACGACCACCACTTTTCCTTCGCTCAGTAACATGTTCATCTCATGTTAGGAAGAACGATTTCTGAAGGCGGCCTCGCGAATGCTTTGTTTTGTAACAATGTTTGCAGCAGTGTTCGAACTTAGGTGATTTTACCCTAGGTTTAGAGGCCTACTTCTTCTTTCTGTGGGGTCTTTTCGTATCAAGGGGATTTTTCGGGTTTCTTCCCTTTTTGCTGAGTTCATCTGACAGCACACCTCGGATCCTCATCACTTCTCTGTTCATACTTTGTATGTCGAGCTACTCTTCATCCTTTTCAAGCTCAACTAGAGGTATTTGTATAGAATAGGGCAAATAAAATGGATCAGACACGAGAAAATGCCATTTTTGTGCTTTTTATCGGTGATGATCATGGATATGTGAGATTCAACGCATCCCTATTTATTATTTCTTTGCTGCATTTTCCAGGCTAAACGGCGGAAAACCACGAAAAAGAGCTCCAAGGGTCGTAATTTGGATGATTTGAAACAAGAACTTGACATCGATGATCATCAAATCACAATTGAAGAGCTGACAACAAGGCTCGATGTCAACATCCAAACAGTGAGTCTGCCTCATTCTTTATGCTTTTTTTTCCCCCGGTGTTTTTTTTTTGTTGTTATGCAGTCTCTTCACCTTCTTTTTAAATACCCAGACTAACATTTTAGAACCAAAAAGCTGAATGAATTCATAACGAAGTACGACCTTAAGCCACCAAATATTACGAAAATTACATAATATTAGGGCATGTCAAAGGAAAACTGCAATGAATTTCTATTAGCTTTGCATGCAGCGTTCGATGAAGATGGTCTCTACGGGCATTGGGATGCTCGTCCCACCGCTCAATCCTTCGTTTTTTGGCACTGTAGTAAAACAACATAAGCATCTAGTGGCACCATGTTCTACCACTTCGTGGTTCGAATGGTATCACCGTCTTCAAAGTCCTCTTCATAGGGTGTCGTTATCAAACTGATGACACCACGTTTTCTCACATGCCACGATTACGGTCAAAAAGCTGTTCCCTTCAGCAAGGTAGGGTTGCAAATGAGCGAGAATAAAACCCATGCGGACATTTTTCTGGTCTTGGGTCAGACACTTCGGTATCCATTTGACACATCAGAAGGTAGTGAACTTCTTGGACGATTGCATGCACAGACCCATGGCGAATCCCCTCTTCTGTAGCTATGGCATCCAGAGCACGCATCAGTTTGCTCTTATCACTTCGTTCACTTTCGCAATGTTATCGTCTGTGATGACAATGGTTTGTCTGGATTTGGGTTTTTCCTCGACATAGAAGCGTCTGCCACGAAACATTTTGCACCAATCATATACTCGCCTCTAGGAAGAACATGTCTCACCATCAATGGCAACCATTCTGTGATGGATATCAAGTGGTTTCGCACCTTCTGCACGCAAAACTGAATCCCAGATCTTTGATGTTCCTTGGACCACCTTTATCAGGTTACAGTGCATGCAATCTTCTGCAAGCAGTGATGGTAATTACATTGTAACACTGCTCCAGTGTAAAAAAAAAAAAAAAAAAACAGAAAGATTTCCACGCATCACGCACCAGAAAGTGCTTTATTGGGCATTTTCTTGCTGTTTCTCGTTCTTGCCGTTCTCGCGACAAGGATAGTTCGCAGTACGTTTCACCGAGCAGCTAAGATAGCTAAACTGTTTTAGAAAAATGAGGTACCAATTAGCTCGATTTGTCCTTGAGAGTGTGCCTCGTGGGGTTTTATTGCTGCCCCTCCAATGATTAGGTACGAATATATCAGAGATACGAGTCTGGAATCATGAACAAGATGGACATGATCATGGACACCAGAAGAACCCATGGAAACAGTCACAAATGATTCACTCCCCAGCATCGTAGCATATTGGTCAATTCCTACGAAACCAGTTCACCGGTTCCTCGACAAACTTGAAGCATTGAAAAGTACTAGCATTCAAGTACAGTAATGAACATATTTCTAAAAAAGAGGTATCTTTGAACTAGCACATGAGAGTGTCTCTTGGGAGCACCTAGGGCTGCGCACTAAAGGACTGAGACACACTTAGACGTGGGCATTCGACTGATCCAGGACAGAAACTCTGGAACCGACCTCAATGAGCAAGACATCGAAAGACTGGCGCTGTCTTGGTGGCGTTAATTTTAGCGGTCGATAGGATATCAAGTAGACTCAACAAAGGGTGTGCCTTTAGAGACATGAAAGAGCTGAAAGTACTGAGAAGCACCTCCCATTTCTAAATCAACAAGCAATCCTATAGCTAAAACAATGACTTGACTTCGACAAGTGAGGTACAGGTGAACTTCTCTCATTTTTGGGTCTTCCACTAACCTCATCGTCAGGGGTTACCAATACGTCCAATCTGAGCAACTCTTTTGGGTTAATAGGTGACGCAATCCCAAAGAAAGGGGAAGAAAACAATAAATATAACCATAATCAAGAGGACCGAGTGATGGAGTACGGATTCCCGCGATCGGAACGAATCGATTCGGTGGGCATGATGGGAACAAATTCGTTCTGTTACACGTTTGGTGCTGCCTCCGTGGACAGGGGGATTTGTATCCGGATGGAGTTACAATCTACAAGCAGATTAGGTATCGAAAGGATTTAATTCGAATCGGCACGGCGAAGCACCTCTCTCGTAAGTGGAGGGCTCCCCTCCAATTGGCTAACCCCACTGATATATCCAAGATGGTGAGGCAGGAGACGCGTTGGGGTGGCCGAGACTGACGACATTATTACTCCCCCCCCCCCCCTCAGTGCTGCTGCAGATCCGAGAAGTTGAAGGAGTCCAGATCTTGCAGACATGAGACTTGATGGCTATCCCCCAGAAAGTGCCAGATAAAAGGGGAGACAGGTTCTCTACTGAAGCTTCATGCTAAAGTCTCCCCTACATGCACCAATAAGTCTTCCCTCTGCCAACTTTAATCGAAAAGTTGGAGGTGCAAAGATTGTCGAGGGGTGTCATTCCCCTCGAATTCCCCAATCATCTAGTAACCGAGCATGGAAGGTTGCGGTGAGTGGTCACCACCAAAGGACGATGAATGCGCAGACGGTACAGGTCACAACTCGTTTCTTCGCATGCAAGCAATTTTGTAGATATTACATTTAGAGCGCGAATGGTAATGGCTAATGGTACCTTAGTCTTTTGACTTCGTCTTTGAGGATAGCCGCAAACAGACACTTTTTAGTACAGAGAGCAAAGAATACCAACCATTCTGAAAAAAAATATTGGATTTTTTTTTCCTGAAAGAAAATAGGGGACGAAAAAGATACGAGAGAAGTGATGAGTATTTTTTCCTCTATAAGCTCTTTTTATGTAACAGCAGAGGCAACTCTTCCGTCCTACCGTACATGGAGGGCTGAGGAGAAAAGAGATAAGGCCTCCTATCCATTTGTCATGCTATCTGAAAACCGGCATTTGATTTCTGGTATGGGTTTGTGTTGTGAGATCCATTTGTACCTGGATGGAGTAAGGAAACCAACAGAGGCTGTGACTGTCACGTTTCGAATGAATTATAGGGATTGACTGAGAAAGAAGCAAAGTTCCGGTTGGAAAGAGATGGCCCTAATGCCCTCACCCCTCCACCCACAACTCCCGAATGGGTAAAATTCGGAAAGCAGCTCTTCGGTGGATTTGCCATGTTGCTCTGGATTGGCGCCATTCTCTGCTTTACTGCATATTCCATTCAGGCTGGAACTTTTGAAGAGCCTCCAGATGATAATGTATGGCGCCCAATTTGTCATTCCGAACTCTGAGCGTTTCTCTTCGGGGACCAAGCCTGATGTTATGAATCTTGTAGTTGTACCTAGGGATTGTGTTGGCCGCCGTCGTGATCGTCACTGGATGTTTTGGGTACTATCAGGAAGCAAAAAGCTCCCGTATCATGGAATCCTTCAAGAACATGGTCCCACAGGTGAACTTTTCCCCCAGCCTTGGAATATCTTGTAAGGTTAATATGAATGATTTCGTGTCTCATGACGATTGACATTCTTGCAGTATGCCCTCGTCCGCCGAGCAAACCATCTAATAACTGTACGAGCAGAGGAACTTGTCGTTGGTGACATTGTAGAGGTGAAATTCGGTGACCGTATCCCTGCCGACATTCGCGTACTTGACGCTCGAGGATTTAAGGTGGACAACTCCTCACTGACTGGAGAATCTGAGCCTCAGTCCCGCACCCCTGACTTCACTAGTGCCAATCCTTTGGAAACTCGCAATCTGGCTTTCTTCTCTACCAATGCTGTCGAAGGTGAGTTTGGTAGATTTGCATGAAGGCAAGTCTTTGTTAATTTTACATGATATGTGTTATAGGAGAGCCTTTCTGAACTCATGTGGTGCATCCTCGTCACCCTGTTTCCAGGCACTGCTCATGGGATTGTAATCCGGACGGGAGACGACACTGTGATGGGTCGAATCGCAGGGTTGGCGTCGGGTTTGCAAACTGGAGAGACCCCAATTGCTAAGGAAATTGCACATTTTATTCACCTCATCACTGCAGTGGCCGTTTTCCTAGGAGTCTCATTTTTCGTAATTGCTTTCATCCTGGGTTACCACTGGCTTGACGCTGTTATCTTTTTGATCGGGATCATTGTCGCCAACGTTCCTGAGGGTCTGCTTGCCACTGTCACAGTAAGCCTTATCATTCCAACATTCATTGTGCAACAGATTTTCACGTTTACGTCTAAATTTAGAAAAAAATGTTTTTTCCTTAAGGTGTGTCTAACACTGACAGCCAAACGAATGGCATCCAAGAACTGCCTGGTAAAGAACCTGGAAGCTGTGGAAACGTTGGGATCCACATCGACCATATGTTCTGATAAGACTGGTACTCTAACTCAGAATCGAATGACCGTCGCTCACATGTGGTTCGACAATCATATCATCGAAGCTGATACAACAGAGGACCAATCTGGTGAGATTCAACTCACTCTCTGGTGTACAATATGTTCACTGTTTTGTACCTCTGGTTTGCTTCTGGTATCAGGAGCGCACTATGACAGGAATGCTCCCGGTTGGAAGGCCCTCTCTCGAGTGGCAGCTCTGTGCAGCCGTGCTGACTTCAAAGGTGGCCAGTACAATATTCCCGTCCCCAAGAGGTTCGTACTATCTGTCTCTTCATGTCTGCAGTCTCTCATCAGCTGTATGAAAATTGATGTCTAATTCGTTGCGCGTGCAATTCAGAGAAGTGGCTGGGGATGCTTCAGAGGCTGCACTCCTGAAATGTGTCGAAATAGCCATGGGAGACGTTGCAAGTTACAGAAAGAGACACAAGAAAGTTTGTGAGATCCCTTTCAACTCAACCAATAAGTACCAGGTAAGTTGTTCAACGCTCCATCAGTCTTCTCATTCTATCGGTTTGCAGTAGCAGTAGTTGTTAGCAGTCTGGTTGTCAAAATTATAAAAGACAAGTCCAAAGACAAAGAGAAGGATCTCTCAAGTGCACCCCATTTATTTTGATGTTTCCTTTCCTTAAATCGCTCTCAGAAGTGTCAGTTTGTGGACAATCATGAACATGGATAGGCCTTATGAGAAGATATAATCATGGAATGTGTGCAACCGTTTATTCATCGTCACTGAGATGAAAATGAAAGAAAAATCGCTCATTCTTCACCCATTTTCTTGGCAAGCACAGCTATGATACATCCGCGCCCATTATGGTGAAGCCAAACTCAATACCGTTGAAAATCCGGTGGGCGTTCTCCGATGAAGTCCACGAGACCTTGACCTGATCGCTCAAAAAATGTTATTCGTTAATCTAGACTAAAATGTTCACTCGCCAAAACTCTCTCCTTTCCAATGATCTCCGGGGCTCATTGAAATGTCAGGCCGCCGTTTCGTTAATAGTTAAGGACATCTTTCCTCTGGTAATCTATTGGTAGACGGCCTATTTGCTCCTCTATTATCAAGAAACTTATTTGCCAATATGGCTAGTTCTTAACTCGTCTATTCGTACATAAAATGCGAATTTACAGTGTTGACCTCGTGTTTAAAGTGCTTATGATTTTGGAAAGCTGCACTGGTAGGGACTAAATCATATATCAAAATCAAAAATAAATGAATGAAAGACTTCTTGATGTATTTTGCCAACCTTGATTCTCTCTGCAGACAGCCCTGGCAAATAATTTCTCCCATTGACTTTCTGAGGGGCCTAGCACCATTGGTTTCGGTAGATAGGGTACTTTTAGGGACCCCAAACCTTTTGACAGTGCGTCCAATCGACAGACTACTATTGCGTATCCCGCTAAGTGCGTTATGCAAATCACCATCTGTGTATTTTGTTTTGAGCATTTTTAGGGATTTTGGAAAACATGGAAAATAAATAATAAATAAACGTTTTCCTGGGCCCTGGGCATACTTCCCCACAAACATGAAAATGCTAGACTTATGAGTTTAGATTGTGAACTCTTTAAGAGGCAGTCATCTTCAGGCTGGTGTTTTTTCTATTTGTGGGCACCATATCGAGTACTGACTGATATGCATGCAGTGCATTTAAGTTATCCGTATTTTTTTCCCTCTTTGAAATTCGATATTTACATCTAGTGAAGAAAAACATCAGTGCAAACAAGGGGCAATGATAAGAATTATGAGCATTTGTGTACTTAGAAAATCCCTGGCTCCACCAAAAAGAAGTCTTCCATGAGCTGGAAGAAGAATTTCCTCTTCGTGGACACCACCGTCCACAAATAGGCAAAACCTTGAATCGAGGATCCAGTTTTTGGACACCCGTCTCTGTCGTTTCAGAAGACTTTTTCATATATACATGGATAGAATTATGAATAAGGAACTTCTAACAACATTTATGAGCATCATACTCGAGGCCCACATTAATTTTTGCGCAACAATCAACTTTGGAAAGGGTTCGCATCCGTTAAGAAAAGTCACTAGACATATTCGGGGGTGTTACATCTAAAAAGAAGCGAAAATGTCTAAGTTGAAGCTATTAGGCATGCGTTATTTATACGGTGGCCGACTGGCATGCTCATAACATGGAGCAGTCAAATTTATGAATTTCCTGCGTACATTTTTTTGGATGATAGAAAACGCGAAATCGTCCACAAATAGATGCCCGTCCACGAACCTTTACCCTAACGTGACTAACCTGAAAATCATTTGAACGATAATGAGAAATATTGCTTGAATTAAACTTTTTCATATTATAGCTATGGTATATATGCTGACTGCGAAACTCATCCAACCAGCCATCAGTATAGCCCCGATTCCATAAGGTCATTTTCAAGGTCAAAGTTTGCTTGGACGTGTGAAAATGCACAAATGTTTTTATTTCTTCGTTCTGATCGCATATTTGGAATTTCCAAGGAATTTCCTTTAAAAAGACACCTTGTTGGTTGAAATCGGACTTAACCTGTTATGCTCATATTTCCAATGGATAATCAAGCTCCGCCCTTGAAATTTCGTATGGGCATAACTTTAGAACAAATGGGCATAAGGAGGAAAATTTAGCCAGTTTTCTTTCACTGGCTAAAAGAACCCCGCACACCAAATTTCGTCAAATTCTGATATGGTACCCCGTACACGATTGGGTAATTTGACATTGACTGAACCCTAAATGCTCATTTTATACAGAATAATCGTCTTCTCTGTTTATATAGAAATCTGATCACAAAAAACATGACTTGAGTGTACTCAGCAAGTTGTTTCTGATTTGTAGGGAGTTTGGTTTTTTATTGGAACGATTTGGGATTGTTGAGTTTCTTAGAAAGAAATAATGGAGAGTGTTAGGGGAGGGAATTGAAGTAAGCTGAACTTACGACGGTGTTTGGAAATGTTAAGTTTGGCCTGTACTTTTGCATTGGATCTTTCCTTTTCTAAGGTGAGTATCCATGAGACAGATGATCCGAATGACCGATCATACCTTCTGGTGATGAAAGGAGCCCCCGAGCGCATCTTGGAACGTTGTTCCACCATTTATATTGATGGGAAGGAATCTCCCCTGAATGATACGTGGAAAGAGGCCTTTAATTCTGCCTACTTGGAACTGGGTGGCCTCGGAGAGCGTGTTCTTGGATTTTGTGACTACAAGCTCCCCCTGGACAAGTTCCCACATGGCTATCCATTCGATGCAGAGGAGCAGAACTTTCCCTTGGAAAGGCTCCGCTTTGTTGGTCTTATGGCCATGATCGATCCTCCTCGAGCTGCCGTTCCAGATGCAGTGGCGAAGTGTCGATCGGCTGGTATCAAGGTCATCATGGTCACTGGTGATCATCCCATCACAGCCAAGGCCATTGCCAAGGGCGTCGGTATAATCTCGGAGGGTATGATTTACACGTGTTTCCGAAGTTTGATGGTCACTGAATCTGAGCACATTTAGAATAGATTCTCTTCACATGTACGTGTGCATGCGATGACAGGAAGTGAAACCGTGGAAGACATAGCGAGTCGTTTGGGTATCCCATTGATGAACGTAGAACCAGCTCAGGCTAGGGCATGCGTCGTCCATGGCTCCGAACTCAGGGATATGACAACAGACATGATTGATGATGTCTTAAGGTATGGGCCTTTATCATCAAATCTTCCTGACATTGACATATACTCGAGTCGATTAAGATACCCTATGAAGACGAGAACATTGTCTCTTCCCAGGAACCATGCTGAAATTGTGTTTGCCCGCACTTCGCCTCAGCAGAAGCTGATCATTGTAGAGGGTTGCCAGCGTCTGGGTGCCATCGTGGCGGTGACTGGCGATGGAGTCAATGATTCTCCTGCCCTCAAGAAAGCTGACATCGGTCCGTCAGCAGCTTCTTGGCTCTTCTGTCTCACATTACGAGAAATCGATCCTGATGCCTTAATTTCTCGTGCTTTCTTGCAGGAGTTGCCATGGGTATTGCCGGGTCGGATGTATCCAAGCAAGCAGCCGACATGATTCTTCTGGACGACAATTTTGCCTCCATCGTGACTGGAGTGGAAGAAGGTCGACTCATCTTTGACAACTTGAAGAAATCAATTGCTTACACTCTCACTTCAAACATTCCTGAGATTTCACCGTTCTTGGTGTTCATCTTGGCTGACGTGCCGTTGCCTCTTGGGACTGTCACCATCCTCTGCATCGACTTAGGCACCGATATGGTAAGCAGCTTGTTTTCCTTACGTTTTTATCGTGCTTCAAAAAGATGGCCTCTTCCCCTCTGATTTTTTAGGAAACAGGCCTTCAACTATTACACGGCTGTCATCATTTTTCATAACTTTTATGTCATGCGTTTTTGAAGGTTCCGGCAATCTCATTAGACTATGAGGAGTCACAATCGGACATAGTGAAACGACGAAGTAAATTTGAGAAAGAGCATGAACAGTCTCTGTCTCTTATTTCAGGGGTAGCACTCCTGCTGTATGGGCAACTCTCAACCACAAGTTTCACATTCAAGATTGAGAAGTCCCAGTTTGTAGATTGAGAGTATCACTTCTCAAAGTTTACTTTTTTGCATCAATGCTACCTACTCTTGACGGTAGAGGGTATGAACATTACTCATGCATTCCTTGAGTTTGGAATGGAATTCTTGCACAATCCAGGTTCCAGCCATCTCTCTTGCCTACGAAGCAGCCGAGTCAGACATCATGAAGCGCCAGCCCAGGAATCCTTTCACCGACAAACTGGTCAACGAGCGGTAAGTTCCTGAGTTATGCTACGCCTCACACCGAGTCGAGCCAGAGGTTGCGGATTAATGTTTCTCAATATTAATGTTGCTCAGCCAACTGGATTAAAATGCGAATTGACGAAGGTATTTTAGTCCCGATGGACTCGCGGGGGTGACTGCGTTTATGCAGGAAATAACAACGCGCTTCGTTTTTCTCTTCTCGAGTCATCTGCTTCCAAACATAACTCATGACAACAAGGATCAGAAGCGGACAAATCAATAAATAAAAAAACGGAAAAATTGTGAGTAGAATTTTAAGGCGTATAATAACAGCTGAGATGGATATTTAGCTTCTGAATGGATGTTTCTTCATCCGCGACATTACATGAATATTGGCGACAAAGTTGGAGAAACTTGCGACGACATATAGCGTATGGGCATCAGTGAAGGGCTTTGACACGGTTATTCCTCTGAAAGTATTGATGTACATTTGGTCGTCTCTATCACCGATAGACCGTTTGCTTCATTATACGTTTTGAACCCTATTGTGAACGTATTCGCGCAACATGGAATGGTATGATTTATGAGTGAAAATCCTTCTCTTGGCTTTTCATCGCGTCAGATTCAAGAATATAAAAGGATACCGTTGGAATGATAGGAAAAAAATATAGCGAAGAGGAATGAAACAGGACCCAGGGAGTGAGAAGGAACCCACCAGAAGGGCCACGTGGCCTTCGAGGCTAGGAATTTGCGCTAGCGAATGCGTTTATCTTGCGACCGCGGCTTCACTTCGCCGTCATAACCCTGTCGCGTTACCTCCAAAACTAAGGATTAGATTGGATTCGAGGCAGCCTCATGGCGAGCGCTGCCCAAGAGCATCTGAGGCAACTCCGAAACGAAGTCCATGGATGAATGAATGGCCGCGGAAGAGGCAACCTTCTCAAGGACACCCAACGCAGAGGAAAACATGGCCCACGGAAGGGCGTTGAAAGGACTAAGTCATCTAATTCACCGGAGTTCTTCCAACTGTAGCTTCCAGAACGTTTTGAAATGAACTATTTCACAAGACTAAAAGAAAGAACGAAAGAAAGGCCTTCACTTAACTTCGGGATGCGGCAATTCTACATCTTTCAGGATAGAAATCATGTGCAGAACGGATAGCATTTGCCGTCCGATGCGCCCGAGGTCCTCTAAAGGCTCTTGGGATTTTCAGCTCACAATTGAAGGATCTCACGTTCATCTTTCACTATGAAGACATGATAGAAACAAGCTCTCTAGCAAAGAAAGTCCATCCAGATTTGACCCTAGTGAGAGTTATGAGAGCCAATACCCTGAACTTTCTGCTACGAACGTTTCTTTCGTCATTTAAGATAAGCGTCTTTTCAGGTGCTGTCATGTCTTTTCAGGACGTGACAGCAGGTAATGAGACCTGGAGCCATCTCGCCAAAGCTTAACCTCCTAAGTGCATGCAACGACTTCAGTTGTTTATGTACATCTCATGAAATCATTCTCTCCCTCGTGTAGTTATTGCTGCCGTCGGTATATGGCGACTCATTGGTGTCAGGGTTAGGGTTTTCGCCGATTTATGAATTTTAAAACTGAAAAATTACTTACTTAAAATTCTCTACATTTAAGCCACCCTGGACTGTCCACCAGTTTCCCAAGTCACGTTCAAGGGTTAACTCGAGGTTAAACTACCAAGTAGCCATGGGTGATCCGAAACTCGTCCAAGGACAGTCCATTTGTCCAGAGATGGATATATAGTCCAGAGGCGGTCGTCCGTTGGATGAACATAGGATGCCATCGCCATGGATCGATATATTCTCATGCATTCTGAGCTTTATTCTAGCAAAAGTTCCCTACATCGAACACTCAATTATTTCCATCTTATTGAATTAAGGTTTTATGGAATGGCGTTACGAGGATCCGATCGTGGGATTTATTTTGTTCTTTTTTTCCCTCTAAACTCCCATCTTAGGTCCCTAAGTAGAAAATTTGGTGAAAAGCATGAATTCCATAGGTCCGGGTTTCTATTCGGGAACAATTTTGGAGGAGTAAGCGCTGAAGATTTTGAAAACATCCTGAAAACATCCATATTTTTTGCAGAGTTGAAATACATCCTTAGGACACAGGAAATGACAGGTTAATATTAACTTGTAACAGCCACAGATTCAAAGAAGAAATAAAGTCACTGTCACTATAGCGTGCGAATGGATTAAAAGTGACATACACTAGATTCATTTAACTTTAAACTGATTCGTTTTCATAATGGGCGTCTATTGGAATAAGTTTACCTCAGTTAAACTGATTCCCATAGGGGACCATTTTGAGATCAGATTAGTTTAGCTTAAACTGATTCGGTGCATGTCATGACATGCACCTATGGGAATCAGTTTAACTATCCATAAGTGAACGAGAGTACCTTCAGACCAACCACGAAATTCACTTTTTACAGGATATGACAAAAAATTACCAACTTTTAACTTAAACACATCAAATCAGAAATCAAATCAATCAAATCAGGCTTTCCTTTCTGGATCCCAGGGCCTGCAAAGAAAGGAAAGAAGTTAAATGAAACAATGAATTAAATTATAACTGAGCAAATATGAGAAATTGATCGTGCAAAGGGTAATATTATCTTTCATGGATGCTCCAGCGTTCCAAAGACGCTCCTACGTTCTACTTCCCTGGAGCAGGACTGTCACAAACCATTTTTGAAGGAACTGTCCTTTTTAAGTGTTAGACTTGTCAGATTATCGTTCATAACTTTGATTTGAATCAATGGATTTTGGTACCTTTAAAATAAATGAAGATATGCCAAATCCTCGCCAAATTTTGTGAAATATGACTTATGGAATCATTAGATGCACTCGAAGTCGTTGGTATGCTTTTTTTTCAAACTCTGCAGACTCGCTGACGTAAACCAAGAGAAATTCTGAATGAACTTCGAGAAAACTCCCTGAATTGATACTCGTTGATTCGAGTACTATTCATTGAAAGGAGGCTCATGAAAACCATCTGCAAGAGATCACCAGCCAAAAAAAAAAATGAATTTAAATGAAAGAGGAGTTGGAAGTGGTTTTCATGACCAGAAAGGACAGCGCTTGAGAGTATTCTCGACTCCACTACCAGCAGGGGCTCTAGTCCATTCCCAATATCTAACTTATTTTCAACAATTGCTGATACTATTGCTTCGGCCCAACAAATTCAGATGTAATTTTGGAACTCAGTGATATAATCATGTGCATAGTGAAAGTTTCGTGGAAATAGCTCTATCGTGAGCAGAGAGGTACTTCAGTTAAATTTCGTTGGTAATTTTCTAGCAATACCCTGTGTATCCTTTTCTTTTAGGGATCCTTTACATATCAAGAACATGTCCACCATTGCACTCAAGTACTGCACATGTCCAGCATTGCGCATAGAAGTTCCCCTAAAGATAGGAGGAGATGTAAATTATAGTATTACATACTAATAAATGTGACTTATTTTTAATGATCCTTTAAATGCCTTCATGTCGTCTTCAGCATGTGGACTCAAGGTCAATGACACTAATTCAAAGTGCTTCACATGAAGTCAAGGAATGATGCTATCTCCTTAGCGTATCAGAGAGGCACAGCGCTAGTCAGCCAAGAAAAGTGTTGTAGTGATGTAGCGGATGAACGGATGTAGCGGATGTAGCGGATGGTATTGTATGGAATGCAAATAATCTGAACAAAGACTTTCTTTTCGGACAGACTGATTTCCATGTCATACGGCCAAATTGGGATGATGCAAGCAGCAGCAGGCTTCTTCACGTACTTTGTCATCATGTCACAGAATGGATTCAAACCCACAAAGTTGCTTGGCATTCGTCGCCACTGGGATTCTCGGGGCATCAACGACCTTGAGGATTCGTACGGCCAGGAGTGGGTGAGTCACGCCTACACGCTTTCCGATTCCTTTTCTTGGGAGAGTAAATACTCTTTTGGTATCCATGCAGACATACCGCGACCGCAAGATCTTGGAACACACGTGCCACACTGCCTTCTTTATCTCGATCGTGATAGTGCAGTGGACCGATCTGATCATCTGTAAGACACGAAGAAACTCGCTAGTCCACCAGGGAATGACGTAAGTCGCTTTCCATCGAATGAAAGCCCCGAGTGGAACGACAGATACACGTTTTGAATATTTGATCCCCAGGAACTGGGTGTTGAACTTCGCCCTCGTTTTCGAGACAAGCATGGCAGCTCTCCTCTCTTACATGCCCGGCACGGAAAAGGCCCTGCGCATGTATCCGCTCAAGTATGTCCCCAACATCTCTCTTCTGTTTTCTGCAGTCTCCTTCAATTCCCATGAAAATGTTTATCTTCCTTTCTCTCTCCTTCTTTCAACGTAGATTCGTATGGTGGCTGCCTGCCATGCCGTTTTCCCTGGTCATCATTGTTTATGATGAAATTCGTCGGTACTTCATGCGCCGCAATCCAGGCGGATGGATAGAGAAAGAAACCTACTATTGAGAAGAAAACGAGAGAAGAGCTCTCTCAGTCCATGTAGTTTATTTCCGTAGTGGTGATACGAGACGCCCTATTCTTCTGCCAGATCTCACAAATTCCGCACACTTTTTTCTCCCCACTGTCTATTCGTTCTCTCGTTCCCCCACGGTTTTCTCTAATATTTGGCATATCCAGTTGCTTCAATCAATTTGCTTTCTTCCTTATCCTCACCTCCTTGCAAATCATCACATTTCTGCTTACACACGACACGACCAAGGCCTTTCACGCTCGTCCGATTCGATTCTGTTCGTCACACAGCATGAAAAGATCTCAGGACGGGACTCGGGAAGCAACTGCAGCAGCAAAACCATTTGTATTCACATCAATTGATAGCTACAAGGGGCTCGTTTCTTTTTTCACTGTCTCGGTCTCCTAAGCCTTCTCTTCCCACTGGTGCTATTCTGCAATCTCTTTTTCAAGTTTGTGTTTCATATAAAGATCGAAAGTGAGATTCTAAGAAAACTGGTGGTCGACCTTCTTTGGTCATATGACAGCACAAATCCATTTATTGTTTTATTTTACTCCCTGCTGAGTCTTGCTTCAAGAATCTTGGTGGTCCTATTCTCTTCCACGAATCCTCCTGTCATCAGTCTCGTCCCCGTGGTTCAAGAGGGAACGGCAGAGGATAACATAAAATTGAAATGCATTTATCCGCGCTCATATGAGAAGAAATAAATAAAGATGCGAGGTTGAACAGAGCAGTTTCTGTTTCTTGCAGTCCTTTAATCGAATCATGAAAGCTGAAATTTGCAATCCGCAGTTCGTAAGTCTTGTAGCATAATTTAGTGAGTTTCTTGTCAATTCTAAGTTGAAGACTGCTTGGTGAGATTTTTTTTTATATATCTCTGTTCAGCTGCTCCACCTACTGTACATATACATTGAGTCTATCATAAAACATGAGAATTCCTGGTTATTGCCCTCTCCCTTTCTGCATTAGCATACATTTTGTGCGCCTGGATGAATGAGGGTATATGCTACTAATTTCATAGTAAGTATAACAGAAAAAAAAACATGAATCCAATTGGTGCAGTCTATATTTTGGACGTGCTTGAAAGAGGGGGGCTAATTTATAGTTAATATTTTCGAGGGGTGTCTGAGTATTATTTCGCGTAACAGGCATCACCCCAAGAATCATGTGAATATCAAGGTTTTAATATATTAGAAACGATGTCCACCTCTTGCTATCGTGTGATGACGGCACGTCAATATTGAACATCCATTTACGTACTTGCGCCACATATGCTAACGTTAGTTTTGCATCAAATCGACATGGCTTCACTTAATCATACGGCATACATGTGAAGAAAAATTGGCATCATGCTAATCCATTCCGTCATAAATTAATATTCGACTCTGATAGTATTCCTATGGTACACCATGACATCAACGTGATTATCGGTCTCAATTTCAAAATATCATGCATTCCGGTCGGTTAAAATTTTCGCATTTTTCTATGCGTTGAAGGCAACTCATGAAGGATGTCTGAAAACTTCAAGAGAAAATATGGCACAGTACAATTTACATGACACTAAATAAACTGTGTGCAATTTCATATTTCATTAACAGCCTGGAGACTGTCAGACATTGTGCATGAAAACTTTATTTCTGAATTTAATCAGAACTAAAAGCCTATTTCAATTTTTTATGAATGGAACAAGCAAACAAAATTTTAACAATTGCTCTTCAGTGTGCTCCTTTAATCCTTCACTGTGTACTTTATTTCTTGTCATTGAGTAAAACTCCAGAACTTTTTAACTGTTAGTACTAGAGATCGACCGATATATCGGTTGCCGATATAAATCGGCCGATATGTGCATATCGGTGAGTATTCACATCGGCTCTTTCATGCATTCCGATTTTGGCCGATATCAATAATACAGTTCCGTATAATCACCAACCAAGTGGAAAGCAAGGCCCCACAGGTGATGTCGTGGGTCTAGGTTCAAGACCTGCTTCTGATCCATCACCAGTAGGATTGCAGCAGTCAGCACTGCATGTTCGGCAGGCAGAAATAGTGGCACCCCTCTCGTCCCAGGTGTATAAAAACTAACAAGTTCTTCCTCGATAAGATAGAATTAATGACCTTTCGTTGAGGACAATGGATAAAGAAGCCAATTCCTGAATCACAACCAAGGTATGCTCAAGAATTCCTCTTAGATTTCATGCGTACATCTTACAGGAGTATTTAATGAGATATTCCATTAAAGGGAGATCAGGAAAATGCTGAAAAGATACTCTTCATTGGGGAAAATTTGAAGTAAATGAAGCAGTGCTGATGAATCTTTAATATGGTTTTATGCTGAAATATCGGCAAATATCGTATCGGCTATCGGCTTCATATATCGGCCAATATCGGAATCGGCAAAATCGGTAAAATCCAGTATCGGTCGATCTCTAGTTAGTACGTATCGAGTGTCTGAGCAGACGAAATTTTGTGTTCTACAGAACAAGGGACTGAAATCGAATGTCGCAGCGAGAGGACAAAAGAACTCCTGGATGAAGACTGTAGTCAAACATCGCAAAGGGTATGAGGCTCAGTTCGCCTATAGTCGAAAGTGGCAGCGAAAGGGTTAAAGTGGAAGAACATCGGTGTGAAACTGAAATGGTATGAGCAAGGGAATAAAATCGAGTTCATATATCAATAATACCTAACCGTTGCGCACGATGCAAATTTACAGCTAATTTTCACATTATATGACCAAATAAAACCTTGGAGGTTACAAAGTGTCATAACCAAGGCTGTGATTTATAAATCCTTATTTAGGTACACTGCGCAGTCCGTAAAAGGATTTAGATCAGCGAGACACAGGGTCACAACAATAGCGTGAGAGGGAGACTGGGGAAGCAAAAGATGCCACCCTTACTCTGGCTCGTATTTTGCGTTGTTCATGAGCCCGGGAGAGGAGGGCCACTTCGACCTGCCACATGATGCCCATGATAAATGCAATCAAAGTTGGCTTGGCCAATTTTCTTTACGATTATCGGGGATGGGAACGATTGAAGTCCAACAATGTCCTCCATATGATTCTGGTTTTCACATCTGGGAAGGTGTCAACATCATTGAAAATACTGCAGGTGTTGCAGCAACACGCTTGCAAAACAGCTGCAGCAATGGATTACTATTCTGACTACTCAAGCAGGCATCGATTGACATCGATTCGTTGAAACAGGTAGGAAAAGGTTAGTTTTTGATCACATGATAGCACACTCATTTTATTGGGTTGGAAAGAAAGTCTTGCAACACTTTCTAAAACTATTTATAAAAATTTTCAAAGGAATGATGGGCGGGGCTTTGCATTTGTATATGCTGGAATGTTCTCGAAGCTTCCGCCCTCGGGGTATATAAGGCCGCTTCTGCCATCAGTTGGCAGTCATGGCTCCGATCGAACGAGCAACTCTTCGCCCCATCGTCTACTACGAGTTCCTCCAATGACACTCTGCGAGAGCCGCCGCGGACAACATCTGCGCTGCATTCGAGGGCAACGTCGTCCACTATTCCACGGTGTCTCGATGGTTCAAACGCTTCGAATCTGGCGACACGACCTTCGGAGATCGACCACGCTCAGGACGTCCATCGACAGTCGATGACGAAGCCCTGCGGAACGCCCTCGACGCGAAGCCGAACGCCACCACTCGCGAATCGGCGACTACATTTGGAGTCACCCATATGGCCATCGGCAAGCATCTGAACGACCTCGGCTATCGGAAGGTTTACTCGACATGGGTCCCTCATCGACTCAGCGACTCTGACAAAGCAAGCCGTGTCGGTGTCTGCGAATCGCTGCTCCTTCGTCCGCACAGAAAGGACCTTCTGAAGGAAATCGTTACTGGAGATGAGAGCTGGGTCCTCTACGTCAACCATACTCGCAAGAGTCAGTGGCTTCCACGAGGAGAATTGCCGCCACACGAACCGAAACCAGGGTTCCACGAGAAGTAGGTTCTTCTCTGCTGTCGGTGGGATTCAGAAGGAATGTTGTACTATGAGCTCGTGCCAACCGGTACCACCGTGACTGCCGTCGTCTACGCTGCTCAACTTCAGAAGTTGGCTGGCGTCATTCAAAAAGAGCGTCCCAAACGCGACAAAGTTCTCCTTCTGCATGACAACGCTCGTCCACATGTTGCGAAGATGACTCGCCAGACAATTTCGGAACTGGGATGGGAAGTTTTACCCCATCCAGCGTATTCTCCGGACTTGGCCCCTTCCGACTATCATTTGTTCCGGGCCCTCAAGAACCACCTGCGGGACAAGGCCTTCGACGATCAAGCACAGCTCGAAAATGATGTCGGCCGTTTCTTCGCTTCGCAATCGCCAGAGTTCTGGGCAAAGGGCATCGAGCAGTTACCCGTGCGTTGGGAACATGTCATAGACAACGGTCATTACATTGTAGACTGAAATTGCATTTCAATAAAGATATAAAATGTTGAAAAATTTGCGCAGAGTGTTGCAAGACTTTCTTTCCAACCTAACATAATCATAAGCAGTAAGTATGTATTGGAGAGTGTGACCAAGAATTAAACGGTTCTATTGACGTCGCTGCATCAGATGTCATGGAGGACGAAGTGTGGCAGTGACCTGAGCAAAACCCTGGTAGTAACGAATCTTCTTGACGTTATATTCGGAAATAATACCAGATGCATGAAATAGGCATACGCTAGAGAAATATTTCACCTGACCGCAGTCGTCCTAGAGCAGCTATGAATAGGCAGCAAAGTATACACCTGTAGACGTACGCAGAAACCTCTTGCCTCTTGAAACCATATGTAAGCCCGGGAACCTTAAGCCATTCGAACTCAGGTCTAGCAAGCCTGCAAGCCTTCGCTATGAACGCGAGCGAAGCGCGATTGGAAATAGAGGGGGAGGGGGGGGGGGGGGGGGATGTGAGCTAAGGCATTTCATGCGTCTTTTCCTTACAGTGTTTCCGGAATTACTTTAACCATCGCGATCTAAAGAAGCTCATCGAAAATGATGTCACTAGACCCTTCAAGGATGTGACACACATTGGCCTGTCGATCGTAGATGACATACTTAGGAGACGTAAAGTCACTTTCAAAGTTTTGGATAAGATCTCTGCTTCCAGGAACAAACCGGCAGTGCTAGACAAATGGTGCGGTTCAAAAAATTGTAATAATAAAAATGCAAGGTGTTACTCTTCTTTTAAGTGAAAATGATAGTTTGTCCGAGGCTTAAATTAAAATTCCCGATTACTATTATCAATATCAATCAATTTTCAGTTACTGGTACGTTGTGGAACATGAACTACTGGAAGTGGCAGAGGGAGCAGATGTCATTTACGTGGACGAATCCCCTCACAACCTGCACATTCGCAGGAAATTTGGAATAAATCTTGTGGGACGGTAAGAGCATTATAATTTCAAGTACTTGAATTGGGGATCAATCAATATTGATGGTAGCTAGCTTTGACTCTGAAGATTGCCTGTATTACACTGCCTGGGGCCTGTGGTTCCAAATAATTTTTTTTTTTTCGGCCATGGAACATTTTCCCAGGTTACCACGCCAGATTCCCGAGGCGGCAATGTCACCCTCATCATGGCAATTTCGGCGAGTATGGGTGTGGTACGATACACCGTCTCTGAACGGCCTGTGGACACGAACATTTTCCTGGAATTCTTGGGAAATCTCTTGAAAATGCTTGAGGAGTCAAAAGTTATTGCAATGGACAATGTGTCCTTACGCAGCA